AGATTTCGGCGCAAAAATCCAAGTGTGCGCGAAGCATGTGCGCATATTGTTTCAATGTGAGCGACCCATGATATTGACGATGTCAAGTGAACGCTTAGATAATTATAGCAGTCTGTTCGAGTTATTTCATTTGAATTGATATATTATGCGTGAATAGCGGTGCTACGTTTACGGGAAAAAGACATTGATTGGCACTTATAAAGGTTAAGAGGCATGAGCCTTTTTCCACACCATGCAGCGATAGTGTCAATGTCTTCCTGAAAATCAGTGGAGTCGCTAGGCTTGTAAATGGCTTTGTAGATAATGCAGTCATTGCCGAAAACCCGAAGTCTGGTTTTCGTGTTAGATGGCAGGTCATTGACGTAGATTAAAAATGATAGGGGGGATAGGCCTGCTCCCTGGAGGCCACCGGATGTAACACTAGAAATTTGTGAGTCATGAGAGTGGGCAGTTGTGTATTGTATGCGTCCTTTCAAGAAATGTTCTATACAAGTAATCAGTTTCGGGGGGATTCCAAGAGTAGAAAATTTTGCAAGCAGGTGCTTGTGTGCGACATGGTCGAAGGCCTTCGAGAAGGCGAGGGAGATGGCGTACATTTCTAGATGATCGTCCACCTGTTGCAAGACATCATCGGTGAATTCTGAGAGCTGTGTTTCGCACAATAATTGGTTTCTGAAAATATGCTACTGCGCATAAAAGAAGTTGATTCAAGGTAGTTCATTAAATTGGTTGCAATAATGTGTTCTAATATTTTCGATGGTATGCTGGTTAGCGACATCGGGTGGTAATTAGGTGCTTTTGATTGGTCGCCAGACTTATGGATGGGAATGATTTGTGCCTTCTTCCAATCGTGGGGAACTTTACTAGTGCACAGTGATTGTTGGAACGGTAAGGTCAGTATTGCACTTGACAGGTAAATTTTGTTTTTAAGTAGTTTGCTGCTGATTTGATCGCAACTGGCCAAGGAGGATAATTTGAGAGAGTCTATTACCTTGGATATTCTATCAACGTTGATCTGGATATCAGGCATTCTGGTTGGCGAGTGGAGTGGTAACTGGGTAAAATTAAAGCTTTAAGCGCGTGCAAATACTGACGTAAAGAAGTCGTTAGAGACTGTAGCACATTTATCAGTTTCGAATAATTCGTTGTCTACGTTTGACAGCTGGAGTTGCATTTGACGATTTGGCGGGGAGATAATTTGAAAGAATTTACGAGGGTTGGACAGTAGAACTGATAAGAGGTCAGTTGAGAAGAATTTGTCTTTGGAGCCTTTAAGTTCCGTAATGTATTCATTAGCAGCGAATTCGTACTGATCCCAAACCATGGCGTTATTAAGAAGTTTTCTTTCCGATAAAGGTGTTTTTTCTTGTTGAGTAGGCTCTTGAGGCGTTGCCTGAAACAACTGGTTATTTGTGTCTGTATTTACAAGGATAGTTGGAATATGTCTGTTTTTCAAGTTTAGCAATGTGTTTTTATATAATTTCTAATTGGTGTTGACCGAGCGGGCAGTGTACGACTGTCGGAAGTCATCGCAGAAGAGTGAAAGTTCGCGGTTAAATGCGTCGAAGTTAGCTTTCTTGTAATCAGTGATTATTTTTGCGTTGGGGCGTTCTTTTTATAGGCAAAGAAATGCTGGTATGAAGGAGGCTATGGTCGCTGAGGGCAGGGAGCGAAGTCACATTTTTTATGTCTTGCAGGGCTAGATGTTAATAAGAGATCTAAAGTGTTGTCGCCCCTTGTAGGACATGTAACTGTTTGGTGCAGATTCAAGTCTAGAGCAAATTCAAGAAATTGTTTGGGCTCCCTAAATGGTCATTTGTTGGCTTCTGAAAGTAACGACCAATTAATGCTGGGATGATCAAAGTCTCCGAAAGTGAACATTGGTGCCTCAGGTATATCTTTTTTATTTGTTCTAGAAAAAAACGTAACTTCTCGCAAAAGGAGGCGCTACTGTCTGGTGGACCGCAACTTATTCCAAACACTATTTTGCCAATTGTACTGTGCACGCATACCCCCGTTAGTTCAATTTTGTCGTTGTGAGTGATTAGTGAGGATGACAAGCTTTTCCTAACGGCAATCAATACTTCTCCACCTCGCCTGTCGTGCCAGTCACGTCGATATACTATTAGATTTGGGTTGAATGTAAAAACTTCGGAATCACTGACGTCCTTGTTTAACCACGTTTTGGTTACCAAGACGATATCGGCTGCGGTATCGTCTGTGAAACTTTCGGGTTCGTCACGTTTTGGAATTATGCTGTGGATGTTGGTGAAAAGCACGCTAATGTTAAGGAATGAATCAGGTCGGTTTTTGGCGGAAGAGAGGACAGCATTTCTTTTTCGTCACTGGGATGACACAGATAGGCTATCTTTAGGGGCTGCTAAGGTAGTTCTGTTTGGTGCTGAGGGGTGTACGATAACGCTATCGGATGCAGCGTCGTAAAAGTAGCCTCTGCTACCTACATGTTGTTTGTCAAGGCTGAGTTTAAATGCGCATTTTTGGGTCATGACAAACTTTAACAATTTACATCGTGCAAGGCGCGTACTTGAGGCAAAATCTTCTCTTATTGCGAAACATGTATCATTCAGCTTACGCCCACATGCCAATATGTTTTCTTTTGTCTTGAAGTGAGCTAGTTTTACTATTATAGGGCGTTTTTTTGTTAAAGAAAGTTTCCCAAGGCGGTGAGCACGCTCTATATTGCCGGGGCTTAGGGTAATGTCGAGAGTATTTTTTCACAGGTCTGGAATTTTGTTTTCTGAATCGCTCCAAGGTTCTTTATCAGAATCATCAATGCCGAAGAAAAGAAGGTTGTCTCGGCGCATACGGTTGTTAGTGTCAATACTCGGGGCTTTTAGGGTAGTGATGGCATGCTCTAGTCGGTTAAAAGTGTTAACAGCGGTCATCGTACTTTGGCTTGGTCGGCATGAATCTAATGCGTTGGAGCGGCCCAGAATCTCAGCTATGAGTTTTTTTTTTTTGGGGGGGGGGGGCAGTCTGTTTTGATTTCATTTGTTCAAGATCTACGCGAATTGCGGCTTGAACACTTTCTATTCGTTTGATAGCGTCAAAGACAGGTAAAAGTTCAGCACTTTTGGAGGGTCCGGGGTTGACCTCAACATCACCGGATAGTAATAACAAAATTTCACACAGGAAATGTAGGACAAACGCATCGCGACACAACGGCACCACTCCGCGACATTTCAAGTCATAGGGGCACGACACCGCCAGTATACATATGCCATCACTTCTAAATTCTTTTGAGGAGGTGAGTTAACAAACTTGGAATTGTAGAAGCATTGTGAGCATTGTAGGTTTGGTGGTGTTGTGCCCCGAGCAGCCGGCAATTCCTTGCTGCTTATGTAGCGCTCGCTCCGGTCCCGTGGTTGCTGACGACGGAGATGGCCAAAGTTGCAAGGCGGTGTGCCAGGCTCGGGCTAAAAGCAGGTGGTTGGTGACTTATACTTGGAGGGGGGATGCCCGGTGGGTGGCAAACTTTCTTCGTGCAGGTAAGTGGTTCCGAAGGGAATTTGGGTGGTGAAGTAAGGGCAAACGGTTCCAGGCACCAGGTACGTCAGCACCTAGAATTGTGGAAGTGTTGTGAGAATCCTAGGGTTGGCGGTGTTGTGCCCCGAGCAGCCGGCGATTCCTTTCTGCTTATGTAGCGCTCGATCCGGTGCCGTGGTTGCTGACGTCGGAGATGGCCAAGGTTGCCAGGCGGTGTGCCAGGCTCGGGTTAAATGCAGGTGGTTGGTGACATTTAACTTGGAGGGGGGATGTCCGGTGGGTGGAGAACTTTCTTCGTGCAGGTAGGTGGTTCCGGAGGGAATTTGGGCGGTGAAGTAAGGGAAAACGGCTCCAAGCACCAGGTACGTGAGCACCTGGAATTGTAGAAGCGTTGTGAGCATCGTAGGTTTGGCGGTGTTGTGCCCCCCTGTGAATCACAAAAACATAAATGTCGAAGCGATGCAGCCTGTATATTTGTATTGAAGAGAGTGTAGAGGGCTGTAATGAAGAACAAAGCCAAAGAAAGATACTTCAGATAGTTGATAGCAGCAGATTCGCTGCTGTGACACTCAAAAATTGTGAGGTTTGACCACGTGATCTCATCTGACGTACATATTACACCAAAAAGAGGCCTCAATGTTTCATGCTTGGTTTGATTTTGTTTAATAGTTGTTCAATTGAGGAAGAATAAATTATCGGTGTTACCGAAATTAAACTTAGATTGTAGTAAGACGACGGCGTAATCTGTCATTTATCTCCAATACTTATTTACATTAGATTCATAACGGCCACGAGCACATCATAGGTGTAGCATGTAGTAATGTTGTTACATGTACGCATCTCATGTTTATCACGTCTGCACCAGAATCATACCTTCGTCATTCATTTACGTCCCGTAATACAAAATTGTTGTATGTGACACTAGTGAAACGCCCACAAGAGGTGCAGGAACACAAAATGTAAATCATTACATTCATGCCATTCATGTCATGAGTTTCATGTTATGACAAGTGAAATAGTTCCTTCATACAGTCATGTTATGCCATACTAAGTTTGGCTTTGATACCAATACTGAAGCGGTCGGGAGAGCTGAAAGTCGCAGGCGGCTAGATACATAGATAGATAGATAGATAGATAGATAGATAGATAGATAGATAGATAGATAGATAGATAGATAGATAGATAGATAGATAGATAGATAGATAGATAGATAGATAGATAGATAGATAGATAGATACGGGCAATGTCAGCAAAGTTCGCTAAGAAATGCTTCGCATTTAAAAAAAGACTGACAAGAAAAAAGAGAGCACAGACTCTTACAAAACACCATGCACAATTAATCTTCTAGTTTTTCCCTCTATCTGCAGCTACAAAAATTTAGAGAGAACTAGAATACCACATTCGACACTACTTTCTTTATGCTACATGGTGTACTTGATGACAACATGAACGTCTTCACGAACGCATATATATAATCAATAAATGTTCCTCACCATTCGAAGTTTTAACGGTCACTATATAGGACGAGTGTTTCCTGGTTATGTAGTTGTCAGCAGTTCTGCGGGAAAACAAAAAAAAAAGCAAAACAAGCTTCGTTCATAGAGTGTAAAATGAACAGCTGCCTTCCAGTGGCGTAGCCAGAGGATGGCACACAAGACATGTGTGACCCCAGCCCTCTCCCAATGAATATTTGTTTTCCCATCGTGTGATGAATACAAAATAACACAAGACCACATCTGCGTGTCCAGCCCTCACTTACTATCCAGGACGTACCCCAACCCCCCCCCCCCCTTCAAAAAGTATTTATGCCTACGGCCTTGGTTTACTCATGGAACTGTGTAAATATCTGAATGGACATTCAGAGTGAATCACTCTACATTTTACCGGAAAACTCAGACTGTGTCTATGAGCTTTGCCGTGCACGGTCGCCGCTTCAGGCATGCAGAATGTTTAACTTCTTAAAGTCATGGTCCCTTTTTTTCGCGCACTATCCAACCACCCGCAAAACCATGAAAATGTGTGTAATCCCTTGTAGCAAACGAACTGTCTTCACTGTGCAGGCCAGTCGCTTTATATGCTTTTATGTATGCTAGACGAATTTCTCGCACATGAAAGCTGGACACGCGCCTCTAGAAATTTGCAGGAATGACGCAAAAAGAATTTTGCACTTCATCATGCATAGATGAGCCGAGCAGCGAGAGAACGAATAAGGTTACGAGCGCCATTTTTTCTGCATTCGGACAAGTTGACGTTTTTGACTTACCAAGCCGCAAGAAAGAAACTTTTAATCACTGAAAAAGTACCAGACTTACGGTATCCTACTCTTCATGTTTTTTTTTTTGCATTCGCTGGCTAGTGGTGAAGCCAGCAGGAACTCATCGTTACATTATCCTTTGAGAAATGTACTACTCTTTTATTTGAAGGACGGAAAATGAGTGGTAGTATTCATGGTACGCCAAAATTTGTGCCGTTGCTATGCTTTTACCAAAGACAACTCGAAGGCGAAACATGTTTTCTTGCCTGCCCTGCCACGGTGGTCTAGTGGCTAAGATACTCGGCTGCTGACCCACAGGTCGCAGGTTTGAATCCCGGCTGCAGCGGCTGCATTTCCGATGGAGGTGGAAATGTTGTAGGCCCGTGTGCTCAGATTTGGGTGCACGTTAAAGAACCACAGAAGGTCGAAATTTCCAGAGCCCTCCACTACGGCGTCTTTCATAATCATATGGTGATTATGAGAGACGCTTTCTTTCTTGACTTATCATTTCATCCAGCCCCCCCCCCCCCTAATTTTGCAAGCCTCACGTACCTATCTTGATTGTGTACGTTCTCTGAGATCAGATGCACGGCAAGCTTTGCACACCTCATCTGAATGCGCACTGCCTGCATAATTGAGCAAGCGGCAATGTCATGTGATGAAGTTGTTACGTAACCTCACGTTAGGTGGCGTCGTCATCGAGCACGTGGCGTGCACAGCCACGCTTCTCGACCACTCCTGGTGAGGGTGTTTCTAACTGTACGTTAACGTCAAATCGCACCGCGTGTTTTATGATTTAAGCTTTCTGCACGCGTCAGTGCTTTCGAGATGGGTCCATATACAACAGAGACCAGAGCAAGGGGTAATTTTATCGTCTGCCGTAGAAACAACGGCTTCATGATGTCTCAAAAATGTCGCCCTGTGACGTCGTTGTATTACATCACAATCTCACTTGGTGAATACGAGCAACATTTTCCACATTTTTTACGCCGACGCCGCCCATGGTCACTTTTTCGCTTTTTCGAGGTGGCTAAGGCTTCAGATGTAAAAACCGATTGCACCAAATCAGCTTCAATGGCGTTCAGCATTTGTTTTTTATTTTAATGTACTAAGTCAGGCCGACGGCCGCTATTGTTGCCCCTCTTTGTGGCCGTTTGTTGGTTGTGAGGTAAAATTTTAGTAAGTGCCCTGAGAGAAGTGACCAGCACACAGCGGGCTCCTTCGACGTCGCGATGGCTAGGCTCAGCATGAGTGCTTTATCGTGGGTGAAACGATGACCTAAAGTTCGTTCTCTTTTGTGGGGCTTCTGATGGCGAGCGCCACTTGGTGAGGTTGGCGTGGTCGTTGCAACACAAATAATTAGGCTAGAAGGTACGTACAATAGGCGTAAATGTCATTTCTGCCACTGACAGGGTACTTAAATTTCCAGTGGTTTTACTTGGCGGCATATCGTCACCGAAAACATTGGCGTAGTTTTTAATAGATGTTGAGATATTGCATATATCGACTAGCAGCGTTCGCGACTCTCGTACGTTTGAACGTTAGTGCGTAGTCGAGGAGTGATTTCTGGTCACCTACATCTGCATAAGAATATAATTCGTAAATTAAAACGATGGTCGGCCCTTGCAGCGCTATTATCGCGCTTTCTCCGTCTTGTGTGCTGTGAGAACTTTGCAATGTTTTTTTTTCTTACTGCAATTATTGACGTGCTTTTAGTTCACTGCTTGAACAATTTTATGATTGAGTGAAGGTCGTGTTTGTCTTTCGTATGCACAGATATGGCAGCCGAGTAAACAACTGAAAAACAACTGCGAATTTTTTTCTCCATGTGCTGGCCATCAGAGCAGGATAAATGAATAATAACAATGAAGTTTCTTTTAGCGACGTTTACGAATAGTTTATTCCCAAAGGACTTTTTATGTTTGTGTTTTATATCTACAACCGTGTTTTTTACTTCCTTGTTTATGGATGTTCATCTGCCGGGATTCGTGTTGATTTGTAAGCATTTATTCATATCTGCCTTCTGTCTTGCCACTTTAGAAAAATAGAAACATAAAATAGCAAGTGCAGATGGAAAGAATTAAATGTTTTAGTCGGCATACTTGTTATTTCCCATGCCATCTCTCCAAGTCCATCGATATATAGCTTTACCAGAGTCGGTGTTGTATTCAGTCAAGTTCGCATGAAGACATTCGAGCTCATCGCCAGCAACATCAGTTGGTAATGCGTAAACGGCTGTTACAGATGGCAAACCACCTATAACCTGCAAGGCAAGGCGGAGTGCATGTCAAAAGAACAAACTTTATCGCAGAGTCTTCGAGTACTCTTCCAATGCAGTGACCTCTGACGATTGCAAAGGAACGCAAAGACGAGGAAACATAGCCTTTTCCATCATGGATAAACAGTATTAGGTGTTTGCGATTTACAGCTTGTGCGCCACAAATATTTGCACAAAGTTTTCATTTCAGCTTGTTCACAATTCTCTACTTACTTTGTATATAGAGTTATGCTATTTTGGATATTACTCACTAACCTCTCGTTGTCTCGTTTAGAGAAAGTCCACTAATTCGGCTGAGCTTTCGGTGTTTGACGTGTCTCGATTAGCATTTGGCATTTCGGCTTATACAGCCACGTTTTCAGTTATTTTTACGCTCTTGAAGTATTTTTTTCTGTAAAAAAATTACACCTGTAATTTCTGTAACAAAATTTTTGTAATTTCTGTAACAAAATTATAACACTTTCGAAAGACACAACCGACGAGTGCGTGTTTCTCACCGGAGCTTTTATTATTTTTGGTGCTCTTCTTGGTGCCGGTTGGGTGATTCACGTGACGTCATTATATAAGAAGGCCTCAAATGGTCCATGCATGAGCTATATCATTTGTGAAAAGCCACATACCAAGCTTTACTATGGACTAGTAAGCCTGCTTGGCCTTATCTGGTTTGACTATGGCGTGCGATCATTTATTTACCTTCATCCACTTTGTTACCTGCTGCGCCATGTAGATTGAAAGCGTGTAGCTGAAAAGCGCGATATCCTGTACACGTTGACGCTTGTTACAGCGATTATTCGTGTGGTTTGGGAATAAATAAATCGGGAGGACGAGATAACAATTTGAGGAAGAGATGGGAAGGTTCCAAAAGAAAGTGCTCTACCATCTTTGAATTCGGAATCGTTACGACCTTTTCAATCGAAAGAAAACAGAAAGAATGCTGCTGAAAAGTAAAGAATAATAGTATCAGCCTAGAACACGCATTGTACACCCCCTACTAGAAACTATTTAATGCTCATCTTGAAATGTTTTTAATGGTGCCATCCATAGGCAGATTCGGAGCACTTCCGGTAATACTTTCTGTTGCCCCATGCGGAGCAAGCGCTTTGCATGGGGCTTCTTGGGGCGGATCGAGAGTGCCTCCTGTATGTTCTATTGGTATATCTGGATCAGCTTCGTCACGAGAACCATTCCATGGATCAACTTTTTTTATTCAGCACAAATTGGCGGATTCAACCAAACGTCGCAAGCGTCTCGTGCCTTGAAATGGCGGCAACTCGGGGCGTGTGAACGGATGCCGCTCGCGTCACTTGCGCCTCACGTCGGAGCTCATGTTTTGCTGGCGTGGCGTCGGTGTGCACAGCGTGCCCACTTAAGCAAGAAGAGAGACGCATGCATCTTGTTCTATTCTGACCCTGCCATTTGGTTTAGAGGAAGCACGTGTGTTCTATTGGTAGATTTCTTTCTCTTGCCCTCCGTCAGAGTGTAGTGCTTCGGCGCAGGGTTCATGTGTCACTCCGAATGCGCCAATGGATGACGCCGTAAGCCTGTCGGTGAGCAACCCGGACGTAACTGTAGGCGAGCTGGTCAATATTATTCGACACGAAATGTCGCATTGAAACCTGCTTTTTTGCACGTTACCTCTATTACTTGCAATCTGGTCATAAACAAGCAGAAAATTTAAAAGAACTTCTGGCAGAGATTTGCTCAGAGTAGCTACTTTTTCTTGTTATTTCCATTTTTACCTGCAAAGCACTCGCTCCTCCACCCTTACTTACCTGAGCGGCCCTCGCAGTGTTGGCTTCAGAACATCTGGCTTTCCACCTCAAAATACTGCTGACCATTTGCTAAAAAAAAACTATCATTCCAGGTAGACTTGATGTTCTCTTGAAGGTTGAACTTGAACGTGAAGCAGTAAAATAACAACACTTACAACAGTATACGAGCCATTTGTCGATGTTTCCCGCCGATAGAGTAAGGGGAAGCGCTCACAAAGCAGTGCTTTGAGCAACGCAGCACACAGCCCCTCCCCTACCTCTCTGCTAAAGATGGTCCCCACGTTTCCTGCTTAAGATGGTCGAGAGGTTTTCTCTATGCTTGTGGAGTGCTGGCGCGTGCGCTCGTAGACGGGCAGAAACGGAACTGTTTTGCTTCTGCTCCGTGGATTGACCATTTTCTCTCATAGAAGAGGCAACAATTTTCTCTATGTGTACTCTGTGTGTTTCGTTCACACGATCACGATCTCGATTTTCGGCTCACACGATATTATATTTTCAAGGTTGTAAGTGGACTTCGATGGTCATTTTTGTGCCTTAAGTTTCCATAGAAGTGTGGCAGCTTGGGCTAGTTGGTATGGCAGGACGATAGTTATAGCGCGAGAACAAAACGACGACACTTCTTGTCTGTGTGTCGTCGTTTTGTTCTCGCGCTATAACTATCGTCATCGTGTTAAGTTTACACCGTTGATCCAGCACTGAAGTGGCTAACAATCAAGTGGGAAGGAGTAGCAGTCGCCAAGTAATGGTGACAACAACACTTTGGTTTGTTTTTTATTTAAATAAACAAACTATGAACCATCTCCCCGAAGGGACCCCTGTTGGAATGCGAAGGAGCACTAGAGTGCATGGTGTTGACCCGGTTTAAACAGGCTTGGATGCGGGTGCTTGAAGAACGGTTTGAAGCAAACCGTCGTGAAACGTTTACTCGGGCAATTGTTTGTTTGGAACGCTGACACACGGGAGGCGGGACGCGTTGATGACGCTTGCAGTCGGCTTCCTTGGCTCCCGTTTCGTCGGTATCCACCCGTGCCTTCTGTATTCTCGAACGCGATCAGTGTTCGTGACTCGCACCTCGCCCGTGTCGCTAGTATTCCACTGCCGACGCTTGCTTTCGGCTTCCCCGGATCGTACCTCGTCGGTGTTGACATTGCCATTCATGAACAGGGTCGGCTTCGCCAATCTTCGCAACGCTGGCGACAGCCGGGAAATGTACGCGCACACAAGCGGTATGCATGCCACGACGGCGCCCCAACTATTGGCGAAAACACGTGGCAAGCAGCGGAACATTGCCGGCACCGCGAGATTTTTTAGGCGCTTGCAGGGCGCGCACCAGCCGGCTCGAGGCTTCTTCTCCACAAGAGATGGAAGAGGTGGCGCGGATGAGATTATGCCTACGTGAGGAGAGGGCTCTAGCGTTGTGATTCATGGAGAGGGCGAAGAGAGAGAGAGCTGACACGCGGCGAGTGCACGGCAGGCGAGGAAGGGAGACGTCACCGCGCACTGGTGGAAGCGCGGGAGCTACTTGGCACAGCTCCAACAACTGTGGCGAGGAAAGTGGTACGGACAGTGACCAGCGTTTTGCAGGCTAGTCAAAGAGCTGCTTCGCATCTAAAACGTTACAGCTTTTGCGCAAAAGTGAAGCAATGAACGCGATAGCAACAATTAGAAATGTCACGCACAGAATGGAGAGCAGATCAAAACGTGCGCCGCGTTTCTCGCGCACAAATAATGCGCGAAACATACTCACACGTATGGATGCACGTGAATAAGCGTCTCGTTTGTTACTTCGTTGAGTCTGAACAGTGCATGGTCTTCGCGAACAGAGACTGCAATGACTGCGGTGACCTTTTTGCGCCCGGTAACAACAGCAGAATCGTTCCTCGTAAAACCCGAGGCCAGCCAAGGCGCACCATCCTCCCCTCTTCGCCACTGCGGGATAAGGGCCCGTGAGGGAGCGTAGCTTCCCTTATCTAAGCCGGGCAAAGTACGCGTAGGAGATTAGAGCGGGCGCCGCTGCTCAATGTAGCGGCGAGCGCTCATTGCGCCACCTTCACTTTCTAGTAAAGCCGAAAACAGAGCAGCAGTGACCCCAGGCCTTACCGTGACCCCAGGCCTTACCGTTCTTGTGGACGGACAAGTCAGAGCTTAAGTCGGCACTGGGGCCGACGTCTTTATTATTGGGGATGACCGTGCCGTACGTCTCATGAAAGTAAAGACAGCGTGGACGGGACCTCACCTAAGGACCGCAGACGGCCAATTAGTGATGCCTGTCGAAATGTGCACAGCAAGGCTCGACATCGGTGGCTCTACTTTCACGACAACGTTCGTCGTTCTTGCTTCATACTGTAAAGACCTGATTATCGGAATGAATTTCTTGAAGAACGTGGTGTCATCATCAACGTTCTTGACAGTGTCATTAAGTTTCGCATCAACAGCCGTGCTTATTCGATTGCTCAGAGCCGAGCCATAACCCTTTACTTCTGATGGATGACGATTTGGTCGTCCCGCCATTATCGTACCCACTTGTTGCGGTGGCAGGAAGAAGATTTGTTTGACGGCGACGGATTGCTGACCAAATAAGCTCGCTGAGCGTACGCCACGGTATTTCAGTTGCTCGAGGTCTTGTAAATGTAACTGCGGGACGCACGAACTTGCTGCTCATTAACTTCACTGCTGAGCACCGACACCCTCAAAAGGGTACAGCCCCGCTTATATTGAGAATACTGTGGAAATCCGAGGCAGTTTATTGGCACTAGAACGAGCACGTCAAGAAGAATCAGCACCTAAGCTTGACGTTGGTACTACGTTGTCTAGGAACGAACAAACGAGACTTCTTGAACTGTAGCTGAATTCCAGAACTGCTGTTCATTGACATCACGGGTCAGTCGAAATTCGCTAAAAAAACCATGGAATAAATATCGACGACGCAGCAAGGCCTATACACCAAAATTCTTATCGTGCGGCTCCAAAGAAACGGGAAGTGATACAGCAACAAGTCACTAAAAATGCTTGAAGATGACGTGATTCAGCCATCACAGAGCCTGTGGGCATCACCGGTAGTACTAGTTAGGAAAGAGGACGGTACCCTGCGCTTTGTGGGGACTGCAGGAAGCTGAATCGAGTGGCTAAGAAAGATGTGTATCCGCTTCCACGTATTGATGACTCACTTGATCGGCTTCGAAACGCTCGCTACTTTTACTCAATGGTTCGCAG